CTGGAGCCTTTCAGGTCGGCTTATGAGCGTCAGCGCGCGAGTGGGGTACTAACCGGTGATGCAAGCCGGAAGCCTGGTAACCCGCTAGGTCATCCGTACTGACCAACACCCTGGTCGATACTCTGATCCTCTTACAATCTGGTATTTAAAGTTCGACAACTTCATCCAGAAAGTTTGTGGGTCCACTTGGATCTCCACCGTCGATTCTTTGACGGTTCCGTCCTGGTTCCGCTTACGCTCCGTTCCAAAAGGAATCGAGCTCAGATTGTCCCACTTGGGAGTGTGCGTGGTGGCTAGCAACGTCAAGTTGCCGGTGCCAGTTATCTTCTTTGCCCGTGCTGACTACGAAGCACTAACGCAAATATATAAAGACAACTTTCTGACTTCTGTGACACTGTGGGTCTAAGAACACAACAGAGAAGCCCACCTGATCATGACACGTGGCAGATCAACGGTGGTAGGCAGCTCGTAGAAGGTCGGCGGGACGGCTGACGCGGCCGCGCGAACTTCGAAGTCACAGAGCCTGCAAAACTTTAAACAATATTTCGGTCAGAAAACAGTTGAGAGTTGGTTTACAAAAACTCTCAGGTCGTTCGTGCCCTATTGGCAGCCTTACGAACTGACATGGTGACAACCTTCTGCTTCGGCTTCTTAGCCTTAGCAGGTTCCACCTGGACTTGGGCGGGCTCGGGTACACCTTTCCGAGACTTTCCCACATAAACCCAATACTCTTCGAGAATATCCTTACAATTAGTAAGGTTCTTCTCTGGCTCCCAAGTATTGTGCTCGGGCCCATACCCTGACCATTTGACTCGGAACTCTGTCTTGGTGCTTTTTCCGCGTTTAACCTTGCGGTCGTCGAGTACTCTTTCGACCTCATACTCCAATGAGTCATCGATTTCGATGGGTGGTGGAGGCGGCTGCACTCTGCCATCATTTCTGTAGGGCTTCACAAGATTAACGTGAAACACGTTATGCATCTTGAGATTTGGCGGAAGCTTCAACTTATAAGCGACCTTGCCCACCGCTTCGATCACTTTGAACCGTCCTACCCACTTGGGCAAAAGCTTGCGAGTCCCTGGATTCGCGAGCTCAAAGTTTTGTGTTGAGAGGAGCACTTTCTCCCCCTTCGCGAAAGAGACGTCCCGTCTCTTCTGATCAGCAAAAGACTTCATACGCGATTGTGCCGCCAAGATACTTTGTTTCGCACGCGCGAGACTCCACGACCCGTCCCTGGCAAATTTGGTAGTGTCGCTTTTCGAGAGGCACGCCGTCCGATGTCCGATCTGACGGTCAAATTTTGGCTTCGGCCGAACTAACACCGTGGCGGAAAAACCCTCCAATGCCACGAACCACTTTTTCGAGCAGCCCAATACAGCGGTTTCAAGATAATGGAGGCCGCTTAGTTAAAAAGCCCTCCAGGACGATTGCGAACGCCTTGATGAAAAGTTATGCAGATTGCTGCCAACATCAGAACACTTATAGACAATGAATCATAGCAATTTACAGCACTCAAAAAGATGAAGAGACCTGCAAGCAATAGTAGGCTCCCTACAGTGATGAGCGACCATTGAGTGCTTTTGCGAAGCGCCATGACTGGTCACTGTCCGTCTTCCAGACTCTACGATACGACGTTTCGAAATCACTCTATAAGTTTGAGACTGCTTTTGCGAGTAGGTCGACGTCATCAAATTTTGCCGTACGACTCCAAATCTGTACGGCGCGCGGACCGGCGACAGTGACTCGACTACGGTATATAAGGATCGGGGTGGAATGAGTCGCCGGACGCGACTTGACACAAATTGTAATCTGCCCACGTGGGTGGGCCTAGATGACTACCTCTTCAGTGAGGCCGGACTGGTCGTGTCATATCCATCTGTCGCACAAAGTCAGTGGCTTGGGGACCCGAGTTTCCCTGCCCCCATCAAGAGGTGTACGTGGGTGCTGAACAGTGTTTAACATAAACGGGGTTTCCTTAACCGACTCTTGCCAAGCATTGCTCACACTGACCCCTGCAAGATACAACCACTCATCCCAATCGTCCTGCTGAGGACCGATGTAGTGACGCAAGTAATCCTCCAGGATACGGTTAGCCCGCTCAATTTGTCCATCAGTCTGAGGGTGGAACGCTGTGGTCCTAAGCTCATGCCTGAAGAGGACAAGACTCTGATGGATGAGGCCTAGACTTTCTTGCGTAAAACCTATCCGGAGCAGACCGCCGCCGCGTTGCGGGACTACCTGCTGTTCTCCTATGATAAGTTGCGGACCACGCAGGGGATGTTCCGTCGCCTCAGAGAACTTGTCCGGCTAAACAAGAAGACCGAGAAAGCCTGAGGTCGGGAAGTCGTCGAGAAGGCGGTGTTTGCCCTGAAGCCGGAGCTGAGGAGGGCGATCGAGCATCAAACCCTTAATTGGGGGGAGGAAGAGCTGACTCTGACGAAGCTGGAGGAGACGTGCCGGCAGATCGAGGACGCCCTCTACACTAGGGAGCTGGGATGCGCGCCGGTAAAGATGGCCAAGGGAGACCTAGCCGGTAAATGGGGGGGGTGTCACTTTCTGAGGCGTCCTCGTCAAGGGGGAACGAGAGGAAGCGGGAGTCAAACGACGGTGGTGAAGCCAAACCCAAGAACCAGAGCAAGGGGGAGCGTCGGCGCGAGAAGAAGGAGAGGCAGGCCTACGCTGCGGGCCCGCCGGCGGCCTCAAGCTCAGGAGGGGAGTTTCCGGGAGACTGCTGGATCGAACTGCGGAAAGTCAGGCCACCAGAGAGCTGACTGTCGGGAGAAACCCAAGGAGGGCTGGGACCCGGGGGTTATCTGCGCGCACTGCGGGCGCAAGGACTCCTACAAGAGCCATGAGTGCTTGGGGGGCGTTCCCGGAGAAACGCCCTGAGAAGTGAAAGAACAAGGGTGAGAGCGCGCCCAAGCCTGCCGGCAACCCCAGGGGAAGACCCAAGAATGCGTATGTGGCGCAAGACGCTCAGGAGGACTCTGAAGAGGAGGACGACCAATGGAGCCCCTTCACGGCTTGGTCGGCGACCGTGAGGGAGCGCCGGCGCATCTTCGGGCTCTGGCGGTAATGGCGGACGAAGGGCCGCAGCTGCGTTGTAGTACGCAGGCGCAACGGGACACCACCCCAGCCGCGCGCGCGCGTGGCGAGGCTGACCGGCTGGCTGCACGAGCTAAGGAGGACCGCCTGCACAAGGGAGGTCCACCGCCGCCGTTCAAGTCCAAAGGGGAGCGGCGGCCGCCGCCGGAACCTGAAACCGAGGGGGAGGAAGAACCTTAGGAGGAGGTGCCGGCAAGAAGAAGGCGAGCTGTGCGGGGGGAAGAACCACAGGCAACCCACGAGGTTCGCCTGCCCCCTGCTTTCCAAGAGTATCACCCGACGGACGCGCGCTACCAGGGGCTCGAAGGCATGGACCTGGTGGGGGTGCGCAAAGAGCTGTTAAGACCCGCGAATGGGACCCATCCCGGGTGAGACTGTGAGGCGCCGGGGAGTGGCACCGGAGGCGCCGGCGCCGGTCTACTTCGCGGATGAAGCGGGCCTGTCAGGCGCGGAGGCAGGCGAGGAGCTAGAAGATCCAGAGCGGGCCAAGAAGCTGGAGGAAGCATACGACTCCGCGGCGCGGGCGCAAGAGTTGGCGATTGCGAAGCAGAACCTAAGGAAACGCCAACAAGCAAGAAGTCCGGAGGAAAAGAAGGCATGTAAGGGGAAGAAGAAGAAGACGCGCGAGAAACGGTGGATCTATGAGCCGCTTCACGCCGGAAGTGGTGGAGCGGCGGATGAAGTACGAAGTCCGGCCGGACAACCCTCTGAAACTCATGTGGGGGGACGAAGCCGACATACACCTCACAACCGCCGGCGTCCAACCGGTCCTTACCGCAACCCTTGTGCGGGACACCGACCCCACGGCCCAGTTTCCCAAAGCCGAGCCCGTCAAGCTCTACCACGAAGTAAAACCCGGCATGGAGCAGCTGGTCTACCTCTTCATCGCGTGGGGAGTCATGGATCGCCACATCCCGTACCACAAACCCCAAGTGCGCAAACCGAAACCCCAGGCAAAGGAGCCGCAGAAGTCCGAGGCAGTGGAGAAGGTGCGGGCGTAGCGCCAAGCCCGAGGACGAGTGGGCTCCGCCCAGAGAACGGGAATTGGCGGCGCGAAGAAGCGGGCGCATCCAATCAAGCGCAAGGTCAGAACGGGGTTTGAGCGGGATGAATCTGACAGCGAGTCGGAGGATTCCATGGACGACTCCATAGTGCGGGGCCCGAAGAAGAAGAGCTCCTCGGGGGTCAGTTCCTCAGCCGGGAGTTCCTCTGACGAGCCCGCGCAACCGGGTAAGGGGAAGGCCGCAGCGGCAGAGTCCCCACCGGCAGAGGAAGAGATGGAGAAGGGGTTGGCCTACCCGGCGCTTGGTCCGCCGGCGGACGCAGGCGAGCCCTAGACCAAGAGATGGAGGCTGCGGACGCGCCGGCAGAAGGGCCACCACCGCCGGCAGAAGAAGAAGCGGGGCATTACGAAGAGATGGGCGCCGCGGATCAGCCGGCCAGGGGGGGGAGCGTCGGGAGGAGATCCAGGAGAAGACCCCCCTGATCCAGAGAAGAAGGGGTCCGAGTCCCCAGCAGAAGACGAGGCGACGCCCAAGGAGGAAGAAGGAAAAGAAGAAGAGGAAGGAATAAGAGGTGGCCCATGAGCCTGAGCGGGCAGAAGCGGAGGGGCAAAGGGAGCCGGAGCCAGTGCCGGCAGAGCGGAGCGGGGCGGTGAAGGTGCCCAAGAGCCGGGGGGGGGAGAATCCTCAAGCACAGAAGTAATCTCGGACAAAGAAGAGGCCCTTGAGGCCCCTTCACGCACGGACTTAACCAGGAGGACGGATTTTTGGATGTTCTCGCCAAACGCGGGGAACGCGGGGAACGCGGGCGTGGGGAAATGGAGAACCACCTGACCATCCTGGAGAGAGGATTTCTGCGCACCCCGGAAGCCCCGTCCGCCAGAACGCTCATAACCCAGAGCTGGAGAACCTCCCGCGCCGACCGCAAGAAGGGCCCGCAGTGGAACGAGCTCAAGGACAATGAGCTCCACGGTTATCTCAAAAATTGGGCTCACGCTGTATTGGAGTACAAGCGCGCGAGCAAGAAAGCGGGGCAAGACGCTCGAACCATAATCTGGTACGAGTTTGTCTACCGGGCGCTGGCCCGGGCGGGGACGGACCTCTTGAAGCTCTTCCGCCGGCGACGGGAGCAGCGAGAACCCTAGCGACCAGACTTCGCCGAGATGGTCAGGCTGCCGGGCCGGATGTCCAATAAACCCATCACCAGCGAAGACCACGGTCGGTCCCAACCCCGACCACGAACTGAACCGGGGACGTGGCGGGAAGTGCGGGGAGTCGGTCAAGATGCCAATTGACCGGTGGCGGGCGCAGGCGGCAGAAACCTACGGCACGGCGCTGATCACGGGGTTCCTCAAGAAGAAGAAGAGGAAGCTGCCGGAGACGCCGGCGTTCGCAAAGCGGTACAAGCTGGTCGGCCTTTAGCCCACGCCTCCAGAAGGAATGGGGGAACTCGCACCCCCGCGGTCCAAACCCCTTGGGTCGATGCTGCGGCTGGCGCCAACTGCAACAGCGGTAGAACCAGCCGCCGCCGAGGAGAAGCCGTCGCCCAAGTCCAACTAGGAAGAAGCCCGCGGCCAAACCCAAGGAGCCGCCGGCGCCAAAAGTTGCGGTAACCCCAACAACCCCTCCGGTGCGAAGCTCTCCTAGGAAGCGGCAGACGGTCGCGGAAGAAGGGGGTGGGGCCCTGGCTTCCACCCCTAACGTGCTGGGTGAGGTGTCACGGGTGGCCGAGGGGCCGCCGGCAAACTTTGCGGCCGCGCAAGAGGATGAAGAGGAGCTGAAGCGCCGGCGGAAGGGGAAACATAAGGTGGAGGAGGCTGAGCCGGAGCCTGAGCCGGAACCCGAACCAAAGGCATAAGATGCAGGGGTGGAAGAAACCGAGAAGACGATCTCGGCAGGCGCCCTCCTCCAACTTCGGCGAGAGGGCCTCGCGAACGACCCGTGGGCCCAACACCCAGACACGGACGAGCTGGAGGACGACAGCTGGCTGCAAGAGGCGTTGGGGTCGACACGCTACCCCTTGAGAAACCGGAGGGGGAGAGCAGAACCCCACAGCCCGGTGAAACAGAGAAGGGGCGCGACAGCGATAGAAGGCGCGGCAGACCCGGTTGCCTCCGCGGGAAAGGTTTAAGTCCCGGTTGCCTTGCAAGGGATCACTCCCAAAGAAAGGGACCGGCAGGTCAAATGGTTTAGCCTGTGGTTGGACCCGCTGGGGGACATCCCGGGGTTCGACAACGAAGACGAATGGTACGAGCGGGTGCCGGTAGACGTGTCCCAGCTGGAAGGTGGTGCTTGAAGGGGAAGGGCTCCCCCGCGGAGCACATGACTCGACCCAGGCGGCCCACGCGCTGCTTACTGGTGGGTGAACCTAGAGCCGGGCCAAATCGCTTAGATGTACGGGGGTCCCAGCCTCCAATTGCTCCATGCCCAGGTGGGCTTGCTGCAATGTCTGCAGTGGGTTAAGCCCGCGGTGGGACAGGATCGGAAGGGTCGCCGGGGCTACAGCAGCAGTTGCGGCAAGCGGCCCATGAATTGTTCCGCTCGTACGGGGGCGAACCACCCAATGCCGGCGGGTACCCTGCGAGGCAGAGAGGCCTGGAGCCCTAGGAACCGGCTGAGGTGAGGACAAGGTCAGAGTCAGACGCAAAAGGTGGGGGTGCGAAGCCGGAAGGAGCACTTGAGAAAGAAAAAATTGAAAAGGAGAGCACGTCGAAACCCGAGCGGACGCGCGAGGAGAGCCCGGACAGAACCGAGACGCGCGGAGAGTCCCAGTGGGAGAGTCGGGTGCGCAGCACAAGCGAGACGGTGTCCGGCCTGCCACGAACATGGCAAGGCCCGCCGGCACCTGAAGAAGGAGCTGGGGGGGAGCTGGTCACGAGGCAAAGGCTGAGTACGCCGGCTACAGAGGGGCGGAGTCAGGCTGGGGACGAGCAGACGTCGCCGGCAAAAGAGACGGCCCTTGTTGATGAGATGGAAGAGGAGTTCCCAAGGGAGGGGCAGGCGCAAGCGGAACCAGACGGGGAGGACCCGGGAGGGGGAGACGAGCTGGAGGAAGGTGGGATCCGCCGCAAGTAAGTTCCCCGGACCGTGCTTTCACTGCAAGGAGCGCAGACACTGCAAGGAGGAGTGCCCAAGCCGAGCCCGAGGTGAGGGCCGCCAACGCAAGACGCGGAGCGGGCCACAGGGCGCAGAAGCGGCGAGGGGCAGCGATCCGAAAGGGGAGGACCTAGACGGAGACGAAGCGATGGCAAGGGGTGAGCCAGCCGGGGAGGGTCGGGGAAAAGTACCGCCGGCGCAACCAGGGGCTCACGAGCAAGTGCAGAGAGATGCAGGACCAAGTGCAGGAGGTGCGCCGCCGCCGCCGCTAGTACCGGCGCGGCATAGGCGCAGGCTCACAATCGCCATGATGCTTTGCAAGAGCCTGAAAGCGGCGAAGCACCGGCGGCGGGGCCACCTGACGGCGGATCTGCTAGAGGACCAGTTGGCGTACGTTGAGGCGCACTGGCCGGTCAGCATCCAGTTCGAATGGGGAGTGCCAGAAGCCCCGGGCCCCTACCCGCCAGAGTGCGAGCAAGATCCGCACTTCTCCCATCCCGAATCCCACACTAGCCGCTACATGTACAGACGCCTCGGGTGCGAACCGCTGCCGGAGTGGGAGGTGTACTACCCGCCGGGGCACGTGCCCGAGGGGCTGCGGGTGCATCCACCGCCGCCGCCACCGCCTCCACCGGCACAAATGGCAGTCGCTTTCAAGGGGGCCGCGTCCTACCTCGAACTGGTAGAGCCCACGGCGCGCGCCCTGCTGGCGCAAGAGATGAAGGGCCTACTAGCGTTCCGCAGGGACCGGCGGCTGGAGAGAGTAAAGGCGCCGGTGATCCGAACGGAGGAGCGCAGGGTGTGGGTGAACGGCAAGCCGCTAACGGGGACATCCATCCTCGACACGGGAGCGATGCCGTTGCTGATCGGGAAGAAGGGGATGAAGCAGCTCGGATGGGGCAAAGAAGACATCATCCCTGACGGCGTGACGCTGGGGCTGGCGGACGGGAAGTCCCTCGAGCCATTCCCCCTCACCCGAGAGCCAGTGGAGTTCGTTTTCAACAAGGGGACCTCAGCGGAGACCTCAATCCGGGCGCGCGCAGTCGTGACGCAGGCGCCGTACGACTTTCTTGTGGGCAACGTTGTGTTGTGGTCAATGGGAATGGTCATCAATGCGTGGCGGGAGCAAGTGCGGTACCGAGTGGGGTGGCGCCAAGGCAGAGAGCGCGCGGGCGAGGCAGAGGGCTATTTCCCGGTTGACTACGAGCGTAACGTGGGCATGGGCACGCTCTCGCCGGCTTTCTAGGCTGACGGCAATTGGAACCTCTCACCGGGGGGGGGAGACGCGGACAGTGGGGAGCTAGGGGCGGACTTGACCTCAAGGATCCCCGCAAGTTGAACCAAGTCTAGTTCCTCGCTCGCATTCAGTGAAGACCTGAATCATGGAGGGGCAGTCTCAAGTGCACTCGAGGTCTGCATCCAATCAATTTCAAGTCCCCCGTCCAGCTATTGAGGTAGCTTACTTACGACCGCATAGTAGAGCACAGTGCGCCACGCCAAGCAGTCCTGGTTATGACAGCGACTGATAGTGACTAATGAACTGTTTAGGAGTGATCTGAACTGAACAGAACTAAACATTATCATTGCCGGCCCTGGCATACGTCTTAGCCAGTGGCATAATTACAATTAATACTCACCACATGCCGACACGTCGACAAACTAGCAAAAGCCGAAAGTTAATACGTGTGTGATTTTGCGATTACTCTTAACCATAGCCCAATCGTCACAATGCCCTGTTGACACTCCTCGGCTTGTTTTACGTCCTCCGAGGATAGGACAACTGACGGGACATATACTCGTCACGAAGAGACAACACTTACTATCAATTGCTTTGTCGGACCTACTAACTACTCCGTACGAGACAACCAACTCGGATACGGCGTCGTGTGGGAGCTTAGTTACTACAAGTAATATACGGCTTCGACTGAATACTAAACAATAAGGACGCCCCAACTTAGCCCGTCTCGCCGTTTTTCCAGTCCTCTCCAATAATCCGCCACCGTCTCGGGCGCCTTCACGACATATCTCTCTGGCTCCCACGAGTTATGTTCTGGGCCATAACCCTTCCAGGATACAAGATAAAAGGCTCGAGGACGTCGTCCTCGGAATTCATGAACGAATCCACCTCAGACTCCAGAGCACCTTCCAATTCAATTAGGTGGTGGTGGGGGTTGTACGGTCCGTCTAATCTGTAAGGCTCAAGCAGAGATAGGTGAAATATATGATGAACAAGCCAACCTGGATTCATCTTCAGCTTGTACGCTACGGGATCCACGACCTGCTCGACTTCAAATGGACCAATCCATTTGGGGAGAAGCTCACGAGAGAGAGATTAACGTTAAGCTTGCCATGCTTAACGTTAAGGTACTTCGTACTCAAAAGAACCTTATCCCCCACAGAGAACGTTTTCTCTGTACGACGCTGGTCTGCATACGCTTTCTATCGCTGTTGACCTGCAAT